TGAACAAAAATCACAGACATTGTTCAGTTCAGTTGTGAAGATATAAGCATCTAAAATTCATAATTCATTTAATTTTGTATAATAATTAAATGATATATGCATAAATGAAATATACAAACATTGAATACAATCATGTTAACGTAGCAAAGCTGCAGTAAATCACGTTTGAAAAAAAATTATAAGTCAACTGTTGTAGTAGACAAATGCTATAAAAAAAAAAGAACGAAAAGGAGAAACGCAGCAAGCTAACAGGCTTGAATAAAAAGGAAAAAAATATGCATTGGTGCACAAATGCATAAGCATTCGCTGAAAACCAACGTTATCTTGCCGTCACGCTCCCCCGTCACGTGCTCAGCCCAACTAATCGATAACGGCATTCGTTGACAACGAATTTCATTATCGATTATATCGATTAGTTGTTGCAGCCCTAGTATACTGTTACCAAACATCCTGACGATGCCCACGCTGCTGGAGGCTTAGTTTAGATCAGGGGTGGCGAACTCCGGTCCTGGAGAGCCGCAGCCCTGCAGAGTTCAGCTCCAACCCTAATTAAAACTCACCTGCCTGTTCAGGTGTTTGATTAGGGTTGAAGCAAAACTTTGCAGGGCTGCGGCTCTCCAGGACCGACGTTCGCCACCCCTGGTTTAGATAAATATATGTGAATATGTACTTCAAATTAACTTTTATTTTGGCCTAATTTTTTTTCAAAGTGACATCATACCAGTTCGTTCTTCGAATTCACTTTTAAGTATATTTGGGGACATTAATAGGATAGTTCACCCAAAGTTGAAAACAAAACTTTCAAAAACATGCAGCAATATGATTCTTTTATTGAGTGACGGGCAGTGGGTTTAATCGGTGACATTATTAATAGATTTACTATCCGGCGTCGTCTTGTCATCTCCGCGACCTGCTTCCCTTGGGGTTTTTAGACATAGAAAAGGTGAAAAAATACACTGCATTGTCCAGTTTTCTCTCAGAACGATGATCGGAGTTAATTTTGCAATTCTCGATGCAGCATGAATGACAAACAATGATGACATTTTCCACAATCATGACAAAATCAAAATACTGCCCTGAACTCTATAGTAGGGCTGGGAATCGGTTCCAAAAAGAATCGATTCCGAAGCGTTGGGAATCAAGAGTCCATTCCTAAGGTTGGAATCGAACCCATCAAGGGGAATCGACTCCTCATTCAGAACCGTTTTCAGTTCAACAAAGCTTATCTATGGGTGCCTCTCAAACGGAAGGCTGCATCCTACGAAAGCTGCATATCGGCTGCTGCATCGTGAAACGTCGCTGAACGTTGATTCACGAAAATAAACGGAATGAAAACGAGTCGGTACTGAGCTCATCTGAGTTTAAAGGGGTAGGTTACCCAAAAATTAAAATTAGCCTGTGTTTTACACACCCTCGATCCTAGGTGTATGTGACTTTCTTCTTTCAGACTAATCCAATCGGAGTTATATTAAAAATTGTCCTGGCCCCTCCAAGCCTTTCAATGGGGGTAAGCGGGTGTTCGGTTGTCAACAGTTCAGAAGACGTGAAATAAAGTGCGTGCATCTGTAATAAAACGTTCGTCACACGGCTCCGGGGGGTGAATAAAGGCCTCCTGTAGCGAATCCATGCATTTTTGTAAGATAAATATCCATATTTAAGACGTAATAAACACCTTTTTTTTTTCTCACTTCCACTGACTGTGGTACGTGGAAGACGTTCAGGCGGATGACTTAAGACGTATGCGTCGTGCACTAAAAACGTTCAGAGTATGTGCCTTCTGAGTTTTGATACGGTGACCTGTCTGCCGTTCTATGAAACATTAGGCTACATAACCAATTAAACTTCATCTTTAGATTCTTAACTTTAATGCAGATTTTAGATTGGTTAATATTAGCTGTCAATCACCCTGATTAGCTTGTTCAGGTGTGTTTGACTATGATTAGAGCTAAACTCTGCAGGACAGTGGCACTCCGACATGGCCTATCCCTGATATAGTTAATCAATATCACAAGAAGAGTGCTGTTTCCTCCAAAAATCAGCATGATTACAAATGTGATATTGATTTTAGAGCCCGACCGATATGGGTTTTTTTTGGGGCCGATACCGATACTGATATTAGGGAGTAAAAAAGGCCGACATTCGTTAAATGATTCGGTTCAATCGCAATGACTCCCTTATTAACAGTGGCTTGCTGCCACCTGCTGGCGGTTTTACATTTAAAGTTTCAAATATTTAAAATATCAGTATTCAACGTTTTATGTTTACAATATTAAAATATTATTTATGCATGTGCAACTGCAGGCTAAATGCATTCATGTCCTGCATTAATCAGTGTGTAAATGCATCTAAATGCCATTTCAGATGCAGCTGCTGTGTTTCCTCTGCATTGCAAAGATGAATTTTGTTGATTAATACTTTCATTTGCTTGATAACAGCCCAAATGTCTTATTATAATTGACTGATTAAATATAAGAATTTGACTCAAATGATAATGCACACTTTTAGAAAAAATGGCTTTAAGGTAAAAATGACCATAAAAGGTAAAAATCTATTTAAACTTATTGGAAAAGATTCATTTCTGTCACTGCTGTGAACTGACCACCACACAGAATATGAAGAATATAAAAAATGTTAGGAGTCAGCTGTCCACTGTAGTCCTTAAAATATCAGCACAGTAAAATCCCAGAAAATATCGAGATATAATTTTTTGTCAATATCGCACACCCCTAGCTGCCAGTCATTCAGTGCAACTCGCAGAGCTGAATGTAAAATTTAACACCGCATACACCATCTTAACCCTCGCCAAAGAAGAGCTTCACTTTAGGTTGTTTACAAAAGAAACCTGTCGGTGTTCTTTTTATTTTCTCTCTTCTTCAGCTCTTTCTTTTTCTCACGGTAGAAAGCAGTGACTGAGAGATTGACAGCTAATATTAACCAATACAAAATCTGCATTAAAGTTAAGAATGTAAGGATAAAATCTGTTAATATATCATTTGTAGTTGTGATGCTCATAAATTTTTGGTGAGTGCTCCTAAGTGCTACCAAGTAAAAAAGTCTTCTCTTGGCTTATATCGAAATCCTCCGACATTTTTTCTTTACAAATCCTCATTTTGTGCTTCTAATTCGTGAATGGTGATTTGTTTTGTTCTCTCTCCACGCTCGTCACTAATCACGCAACGCCAACGTCCTACGTCATCCACCGGAAAGACTTCCGTGTATGACAGATTGCGGAAGTGATAGAAAAGTGTTTATTATGTTTGAAATATGGATATTTTTCTTACGAAAACGCATGGATTTGCTACAGGAGGCCTTTATTCATGCCCCTGAGCCGTGTGAGGCACGTTTTATGGATGCGCGCACTTTCTTTCACACGTCTTCTGAACTGTTGACAATCAAACACCCGCTTACCCCCATTGAAAGGCTTGGAGGGGCCAGGACAATTTTTGATATAACTCCGATTGGATTCGTCTGAAAGAAGAAAGTCCCATACACCTAGGATTCTTCGAGGGTGAGTAAAACACAGGCTAATTTAGATTTTTGGGTGAACTAACCCTTTAAGGATGCAGTCTTCCATTTGAGAATCACCCATAGTTATTCCTACTTGCAATAAATCGCCTCTTGCTCGCTAATAGTGATTAGACGTCTGATTCGTTTCCACGAAAAGGTTATTTTGGATAGATCGTTTTAATGAACCAGTTCAAAAAAATTATTCATCTTAAATGAAATGCTTATTTTTTTAACCTTTTTAACCCAATTTTTACAAGTAAAGCTGCATATTATGAGAAGGCTACTTTCTACGACCTTTATCCTGCAGTCATGGTGAAATTAGGTTCCTCCAGTCTAAAAAAACAGGAATCGAAAAATAATCGAAAACAACCGTGAGGAATCGACTCTTGGAATCGAATCCCATCGGAATCGGACTCGATTCCAAAAATTTCGGAATCGAACAGCCCTACCCAATAGCGGAGAGACAGCGCGATCCTCTCAGTGGCCCTGTCCCAAATGGCACCCTAAACCCTCGCGGTCTTCCTCTGAGTCCGCACTTTCGTGACGTAATGCCGCTTTGACTGTCGGGTAGAAGTCTGCTGCGGAGCTCACCCCAGTGCGGGCTCAGCAGAAGTGCGGAATCTGTGGATCGAGGGCGCATAACGGCCGCAAAGAGGGCGCTCGCGAGCACCCTTCTGAATGCTAAAATGACTAATGGGACACGCTACGGTCTCGTGGACATAATGGACACGTGCACGCGGTGGCCATTGTAAGTCAGTAAGACCACAAGTGCACATGAAGTGTTCCATTTGGGACAGGGCCAGTATGGAGGATAAACAAAGCAGTTCAATATCTGTAGTCAATATTGATCAAATGGGAGGGGGAAATCCTGCCCATACCCAGCTAGGAAAAAAATCATAAAAGCACTTATGTTCATCTACTGAAGTAGTATTCTGGAACTGTGAATAAATTGAATAAAATGGCAAAATAACAATAAGATCTTATCAAACAAAAAAGAGAATAAGATCAAGTTTGATTGATATGTACATATAGAACCGGTCAAAAGCGGCCGCAAAGAGGGCGCTCGCGAGCACCCTTCTGAATGCTAAAATGACTAATGGGACACGCTACGGTCTCGTGGACATAATGGACACGTGCACGCGGTGGCCATTGTAAGTCAGTAAGACCACAAGTGCACATGAAGTGTTCCATTTGGGACAGGGCCAGTGCTCTCACATTCTCCCTCTTGTTCGCTGTTGTCATTCAGTTCTGTCTAATATGGATAGAAGTCTATCTAATAATCAGATAGAACTGTTAAACAAAGGAATTAAAATATATACAAAAAAGTAATATAAAGATTGCTTTAATATTATTAGTAATAGAAAGGCAAACATTATAATACTTTCTCATTTGCCGTCAGCATTCAGCAAACACGCATTTACATAATTTAAGCAAATCTTTGAATGACTAATGAACATTTAATTTCACAAACCTTGCAGACTTAGTCGAATCTGGTTGAGATCTTGTGAAGTGTGCATGTGACCTGCATGATCGTGTGTTCTGTGACGGTCGATCCTATGGTCCGTGCGAATTGAATACGGACAGAAGAGTTCAGCTTCACTGGAGACGCGCGATCGACAAACTTTAAACTCGTGACTGATTTCAAACTATGCTGCGCTGTATGCATTTGCCCACTGTCATATTCATGTCATTTTCACTGTGTGCTGTATGTAAAATGAGTGTTACCTTGGCTTTAT